GCTTTCCTACTCTTCTCTCAGTAATCACCAACAACTTTCCCTCTATTCCTCTCATGGCCACCCAAAGTTGGTCTCCGCCACTTTATTTCACCCCCAAAAGTCCCCTCTTTTAGTGCAATAGAACTCTTGTAAGGCTCCCAATAGATATTTGATCTCCTCACTCCAAACCTTTTATGTTGACTTGAACCCCTTAACATTCTCACTCACCTTGATTCTCTCTCCTCTCTTCGCTGCGTTAACCACATCAAAGGATTTGCTTTCGATCAGAAACTTCCTGGTCGGAGAAACAACCATGGTCCCCTTGCCGCTTGTCGGAAAACACAAGCACAAAGGAGCAAAATTTGTCCATACACCCGATCTATCACCCACATTCGTACATATGCTTGCAAATTTATTTGTGAATGGCTCGTTTTGTTTCAGTCTTAACATTCACGTTTTTGGTTCTCCTTCCTGAAGTGGAGGGTGCCTCAATTCCTAGGAATTTTAGACCCATTAATCTGATTGGTTGTATCTATAAGCTTTTAGCCAAAATGCTAGCGAGACTTGTTCAGGTTGCCAAGAGAGTGGTGGGAGAGGACCAATATAATTTGTCAAAGAGAGACAAATTCTTGATGCTACCTAGATAGCAAATGAAGTTGTTCACATGATAAAAAAGAAAGAGATGAAGACATGATATGTAAGCTGACATGGAAAATGCCTATGACCATGTGTCCTCGAATTTCCTCCTCTATATGCTGAAGAGAATGGGTGTTCAAGACAAATGACAACATGAATTGCTGCTAGTATTTCATCTTCCTCTTTTATAAGATTGCTAATGGGGGGTCATAAGAGTTATTTAAGGGCTCAAGAGACCTCAACCAAGAACACCTACTTCCCCCTTTCTCTTTATTATAATGATAGAGGCTCTGAATAGATTGCTTCTCAGTCGTAGCTCTGTTTGATTTGGGGGTTGGATGTGGGCATCAGGGAAGCGAAGAAGGTGTATCACCTTATTTTTGCTAATGATACTATTTTGTTTTGCAGGCCAATAAGGAATGTCTCCTTAACATCATATAGATTCTCCTACGTTTCCAAGCTATCTTGGGGCTGAAAATTAATCTAGAAAGGACGAAGCAGGTTCACCTTGGGAAGGATTGGACATAGACCTCCTTTCTAGTATTCTGGTATGTAAAGTGGCTTCCCTACCAATAAGCATCTGAGGCTTCCCTAGTGAGCAAAGTTCAAAGAAAAAACTATTTGGGATCTGGTATAGATACATTTTGACAAAAGCCTTGCTATATGGAAAAGGGGCTTCGTCTAAAGGGGATAGACCAATCCCCACTAAGCATGTTATCCAAACCTCCCAATTTACTTCTTGTATTTGTTTCCCATTTCAACTAGTGTGATTAAGAAGCTTGCGGCTGTCCATTGTCTTTCTTTTGGGGGTAATTTGGGAGACCATAAAAGATTCAACTCGGCGGCTGCCGATGTGGTTAAACAATTGCTTTTTCTTGGTGACCTTGGTATCAGATTGTTGGTCTCTTTCAACAAGGGGTTCTCAAGGAAATGGATTTAATGTTGTGATAGAACTACCGATGGAGGATAAAAATAGCTAAAATTTTGGGTGGAGGATGCCGGTTGGAGAACCGAACTGACAAGAGATCACTCAAAGGGTTGGTCACTGGAAGAGTATAAACGTTGTTCGGATGTGCTTTTTAAATATATCCAGAAGAGGGTCATGTCTGGAAGGAAGGTGAGTTTTGGAGACGGGTACAGTATGATGAGAAAGCCTTTGAGTTCCCTTATAGTGTTTTCTCTTGTGCACTAGAAGAGATTTGCTAACAATTGAGCTCTATTCCATCTTGGTAAGGAACGTCCTATGGCATGTCAATCTTGTCAGAAATTTGAATGATTGGATAGAAGGGGAATATGTTAGACTACTTAACCTATTCTCTCTTATCAACATCACTCCTTGAAAAGTAGATGATCTTATATGGAAATTTAATGCTAATAGCCTTTCATCAGTAAGATCTTTCTATTTCTACTTTACACTATTGCCTTTTGCCCTAAGTCATTTCCTTTGGAACCTTATATGGAAGGTCGGTGCAACTTTAAGAATTGCTTCAAAGTTGTTTGCAGAAAGATCCTTACTATTGATAATTTGAGAAAAAAGGGCCAGGATTCTTGTTAGCATGTTCTACCTATGCAAAAGGGCAGCTGAGTAGATGATGTCATTATAGTGCCCTGCCTTTCAATTCTGATGACTAGACCTTGACTTCCTAGGTATGACTTGCACGATAAGTGGAATAGTTGCCGACGAGATGTGGGCTTGGTAGGGTATCTAGGGAGCTAAAAGAAGAAAAAAGCTTATTTCTTTTATTTTTCTAGTTACACTAGAGGAAAGAAATAAAAGAGCTTTTGAGGATATGGATAAGGGTAGAGATTTTTGGTTCTACACCCTATGACTTTTGAATGAAGATCATCCTATTTATTGTATAGAGAATCTTGAGGATATTATTGACTCTCTAGCCACTGCTTAATTTTGGTTCTTTTGAACCACATGCCTTTGGTTGCCTTGTTAATGCCAATATCCCTCTTTTCTCAAAAAAAAATAATAAATAAAAAAAATAAAAAAAAATTTAGGATCCAGTTGATCCTTACAGAGCCCAACTTTCAAAATCTAAGCAGTGAGCAAAAGTCCAGAAAAAGAAAAAAATCAGAGTAATCAAACCCAAAAATATTCTTTTGGAGTAAATTTTGGAAGTAATCTCTTTTACCATTCCAAGGAATTCCCAAGATGAAGATTACACCGGTAAGTATTATTAACATCCCTGGTTCATTCAGCAAAAAAAGTAATCTGTGCTCAACAAGTCAGACAATCCACAAACTAATAGAATCATTTTTCAAAATGAAATAAACACCAAAAGGCGGAAATCTTAGAGTTGATAGAATGGAAATTCCATCAGGAAGGAAAGAAAAAGAAATGAAAAGAAATTTAAAGGACTTACCATTGAGAAAAAACAGTACAACAGTTGGGGACAAACAAAAACCAACCATCCAATTCACAGACTAGTCAAGCTGCTAAAGTAAGAATAATGGTTGACACCCCTATTACAAACATGAAGGATATTTATTTTAATTTACATGTCAAAAACATTTTATTCTAGAGCTAATAAACCACTACTCTGCTGCTTGATCAACTGCTTCTGCCAATTCGAACAATTGAAACTCTCATATATGGTCTCTGACTCTCCCTTATTAATTTCCAATTCTATTATTTTTGTATCTCTATAAGAACTTCTCATCTCTTTGTTGGTTCAGAAATGCATCCATATCTTGCTAATTATCTCAATATTCTTAAAGAGAAGCATACTTGGGACTTATGTAAACCAGAATTTTACTAGTGTTCAAGTAGTACGAATAGAAGAAGCACTTCTACCCCCCACCCCCTAAAAAAAAAGAAAAAAGAAAACAAAACAACAAAAACTACCAATAAAAAAGGACAGGAAGAAGAAACCTCTGAAAGTATACAAGCAAAAGAATGTCAATAAAAGATGCAGCCATTTAGATAGGACTCCTTTCCAGATATATTAACTACACAACCTTGCTACTCATCCATAACATCTAGGCTATGCTACTGTCCCAAGAGATAAAAAAAAGTGATATATAGATCCACATGTTTTTTATGATATAGAATCATATTATAGTGCACTATAAGAAAAGATATAAAGTTTTAAAGACATCCCACAAATAAAATAATTAATAGTCGAACCAAGGAGTGAAATGACTCAAGTTCAGCAGGTCGAAAAAGTTCTCAAGATTGCATTTCATCAGCAAACAACAAACTATAAGATCTGGCGACAGAAGCAGACCTGTTCACACTTCCCTAAGTTTGCCCTATCACCAGTATAGCCCTACAAAATCATAGGATAAATCACAAGATTTAGAAAGAGAGAGAGAATTTAAAGATAGGAAGAATTATGGGTAGGACTGACATGGGCTTTAATCCAATCCACAACTATATTTAAAAGATTCACCAGCTAATATCTTGTAAATAAAATTACTCTTATGTCAAAGCATCACCTTGAGAAGTTCCATCTCCTCTTTCGTAGGACAAAATTTTATGAGATTTTCCACTTGGTCCACATCTAATACGGACTCATCCATTGCTAAGACTGCAGCCTGGCAAAAATGCAGATAGGTATAGCATTAGGTAAATGTTAAGATCTTTACAGGGAAAATGTCCAACCCACAAAAAAAGTACAGCTACGAAGTAGTTGTGCAGCCTTGTGTAGCAATCTTATTCTTCCTAAATATTGGTCCAAAGGCTCAGGATAATTTCAGTTTAGTCGTGTATATCCACATGAAAAACATCCACCTTTACCAGCCTCTAGAAAATGAAGATGAAATTTCATATTATATCTTGATATAGCAAAAAAGAAAGAAAAAAAAAAGTTAGCTTCCCTTGTTATAGAACACATATCCTATTTGGACAATGACAAAGACTACAGGAGGAACTGCTAAATGTCCTGTTTGCATTGAGAATTTATCATTTTAAATACAAAGAGAATGCCATGCCTAGCACCATTGAGTGAAATTACTAATAAATATGAGAACTTTGATGATGTTCAGCTTACCATCATATCAGAAAGTGGCATCTTGACTTTTGTGAGCATAATTTCTGTGTTATTGGCCCTTCTTAAATCAATCTACAAGATATAGAAGAAAAAGCTGTTATGACTACAGATATTTGAGGGCCTATCATCCTTCCATCCTCCCATGATGAAGTTATACTGCAAAATTTTCTAGACGAACAAATTTCACCTCAACCATCAAAGATAAAAATGGTCTTCAGGCAGATTCTAATTGCAATCATCCTGTGCACATAAACTTTAGTTTACAAAAAAGAAAGACAAGTTATTTGAGCAGTATTTTTATAGTTTGTATCCATTTTGCAGATCATACAACTCATGTCTAAACAGATTGTGTCAATGCATAGTATAAGTTATTACTATCTTTAACACACAACAACTGGTTTAATTAATAGGTCATGATCTCTAACCTGTACACTAACCTATACACGACCTATTTATAAAAATATCAACTTGTTTAGAGCTGTTTGACCTGTTTATCATAAAATGTCATATCAGTTAATTAATCCAAACTTTGAATTTACTTGTTTAACATGTTACAATTCATATTATATATATAATATATATGGATATGCATTTTATTA